GAAAAATTTAGCAAATATGGGACACAGGATCTGTGAGATGCACTGGCCTTTCAGTTGATCCAACTACTGTTCACTGAAGTCTCATCAGAAATGGTCAGTGGAAGGGTAGAGTGTCAAGAAGCTGTTTTTAAGGAAGGGAGACGGGGAGAAAATGACAACGTATGCCAAATTACACGAGAACTGGACTGTAAATCAGTAACATCAGGTCTGGTGGGTTCACTCACATGTTTTGGGTCATATTGATTATTTAAAAAAAAAATCTAGCTTGCCTCTTAAATCTTGGTCATACTATGTTTCATAAAGGAGACTCACATATTATAAATACATTGGTGAATGACTTGTAATCAACAAATCATTAGACAGTGGTCTCACAGTCAGACGTATCCTGATCCGTGGTCTGACTGTGGCAACAGCGGATATGCTCATTTCAAGGCTTCAAAGCATGACTGTGGAAACCCAACAAATGACATAATGGTAGCTATGTCAGTTTTTCATGCTGTGTCTGATTTCCACACACTAATTAATAATTGTTTTCCATAGTGGCTCCGATGGTTTAGTGAAGCTGTGGACCATCAAGACCAATGAGTGTGTGAAGACACTGGATGCCCACCAGGACAAAGTGTGGGGTCTCCACGCCAGTCGCAAGGATGACAAGATGGTTACTGGCTCAGCAGACTCTAACATCACAGTGTGGTCGGTAAGTAGCATTCGGCTGCTAGCCTCCAGCTGGATAGGGAATAAGAAGGGAAGGTAACGGAATAACTTTGGCCTTAAACACTTAGCAGTCAGTCTTCTAAACAAATACTGACCTCCAAAATGAAGAGTTTCACTTGTTTTGCCATTAGTGTTGCTATTTTCTCTATGACTTAACCTAAAAACTGCGTCACAATTATACAATGGATTTCATGGTGTAATCCACAAAGTTAAATAAAGATTGAAATGGACAATGAGAGGAAGTTTTAACTTGAAGAATTGTTTTGGGGTTTTTTAACAGTTAATATATACTTTACATGTTCAGCAGGCACTTAACTTCACTCTTTGGTTGTTTTTTTTAATCACCATTTGCACCAAGTGATCAGTCAGGTAGCTGTGTTGTTGTGGCAGTAGGGAGTTTACCTTCTGAAGTATCCCTTAAGAGGGATTCAGTGCACATCTTATCTAGGTGGTAATGTTTGCTTTTTTTTCCTTTTTTTTTTCCCTTTCTGTGTTTTAAAAAAAATGTGTGTTCAGTAGATCTACAGTTTTCTCTGTTGTGCACATCTAGGATGTGACTGAAATAGAGCTGGCAGAGGAGCAGGCGAAACAGGAAGATCAGATACTAAAGTAAGTTGCACACGACATCTCTGACAGCAAAAAGAGGGATTTACTATCGTAGAACAGGCACACCTGCACCATCCATCCTCCTCTCCACTCCGTCTGCAGGGGTGGACACACTCTTTGTTTTGCTTTTAGGCGTGTGGAAAGGATCACTCAACATCGCTTAGACATGATCTGCTTCTGTTTTTCCATCTGTTTTGACATCCTGCCTGTCAGCAAGTCCCTCAGATGGTTTTTGTGATATGCTTGGCTGTGGAGGTTCGCAGGTCAAAGCTGTCAGTAAAGTATGAGTGTGGGAGTGCGTGCTTTGCTATTCTGATAAGCACAAAAAAAACGTTAGGGTTTTGGGTTTGCAGTATGTGAAACAATAAAGAATTTATTTCTGTATTAAATGTTAATTTGCACTTTTAAAGAGTACATTAAAGAGTACATTTCAGCTCCATGTTTTTATTCTTGCTAAAGTAGCTTTGCATGATTCCCACAAATTCCGGCCCACAGTTCATCAACTATCTGAAACAATCATTTTTAACTATATTTTCTTTCTTTATTAAGTTTTACAGCGTCCCCTATTGATACAGACTGCCTCCCTCATGTCCATTCATATTACTCCAAAGTAATTAACAGAAAAACAAACAAAGTTCCTATGTTTCCACCATTAGTGAGTCCACAGTAAATGGACAGTCTGTGCAATGAGCTATAATAACGTTTTCTGTTATGATGGGGAAAAGAGGCCTACAGGCTGGTCAGGGGGTCACTGACAATCCATTTCTCTTTTTTTCTACAATCATTAACAAAAAGAATTGAAGTTGAATTTTACTGGAATAAATATCAGCACATTTATTGAATTAATGGGAAATAAACATAAGTGATCATGATACAAATTCCCTGCAGTATGTACAGGTGTGTGCGCGTGTGTTTGTGTCTCTGCCTACGAACCTACACCTGTATGTTTGTTGTGTCTGAAGGCAGCAAGAGTTGTCCAATCTGCTCCACGGGAAGAAATATCTGAAGGCCTTGGGTCTCGCCATCTCACTGGACCAGCCTCACACCGTGCTCACTGTTATCAAAGGTACCGACTCTGTCACACAGAGCTATCACACTTTGGTCTTTAGTGTCTAACTTTGATTAGCTGTGTGCATGTAAAGTCCAAATCAGATGCTCATCTACGCCTGTCCTTTAGCTTTTCACCTGTGGTTACCTGGAATGTTGTTATTTTTCTTCTGTACGGCTGCTTTGTTTTAAACGTTGAGTCACTCGAGCACTGACGCATGCAGCTCTTGCAAACAGTGGGTCTGTAAACATATAATAACACACACCTTGTTTCTGCGCTCATTCTCTTTTGTTTAGTGACATGTAGTTAAAACTGCAGTGACATATTGTTAATCTGAAGCTGTAACGTCTCAGTATTTTGGACTTGCTGCACTACTTATTTGTGTTAGTACAAAGCAATTTCATCGAAATGGAAGAAAATGTCTTGTTTTTGTAACAACAATGCTCATTTTTCACATCATGTTTGATTGGCTTCCACAGAGGGAGTTTTTTAGTTTGTTTGGTAGTTTAATCCTTCCACTGTTTATAGTATAATTTGAACGCACCAGGATAGTTGGACAAAAATAAAATGGTTCATAGTTGGTGTTTCACAGTTTGCTTTGGAGGTGTCTTCATGTCACTGGCTGCAAGTTTGTTTTTTTGAGAAATCATGACATTCAGATGGCACCAGACAAAACTGTGCCATTGCCAAGAACAGCCATAAGTGAGACAAACATTGAGCTATCCACACAGCTGAATGGATGGACTCTGGGGAGAGTTTGCTGAGTCCATGTGTCAGACCCTATATGAGCAGACTGTCTGCTGACTCTGACTAGTTGTTCCATGTTGCTTCCAGCGATCCGTGAAGGAGAGAATAGCTCCGAGCTGTTGGAAAAGACGCTGCTGAAGCTTCGACAGGATCAAAAAGGTAGCCTGTTAAAAAGAGAATGACTGCCTTTTTACACAATACCAATACCTGTCATTTCAGACAGTAATACAGAAGTTTCCTTCTTTCTTTCTTCTGTTTTCTTGGATCCACTCAGAGTCACTTCTGCGCTATTGTGTGGTGTGGAACACCAACGCCAGGAACTGCCTGAATGCCCAGGCTGTCCTACAGGTGCTCCTCACACACCTGCCCCCCGAAGAGCTGCTGCAGTACCAGGGAGCCCGATCACACCTTGAGGGCCTCATTCCATACACAGGTTAGCAGGGGGGACGAGTGCTTTGACGAACAGAGACCAAAACGGCATCAGACAAAAAAGAAGAAAAAGCTTTTACTCTGATTATTTACTCAAAGTGGCCACAGATTGATCTAAACTTTAGAAACACTCAGAAACATACAAATAAGTGTCTCATATACGGAATACAACACTAGAGTTAAAGGAATGAAAACTGGTATAGCTTGCTAAATTAAAGATAAATTCCATTCTGTGGGTAGATAGATAGATATATTTTGTTACATTTCCCACTGCAACAAAAAACAATGACAAGAATCTGCAAGTGTGACACTTTCCTTGTAGCGTTGTGTGAAAATTAGGTGTGTGCAATGTTATGTAAAGAGTTCAGACTGCAGGGGTTTGATTGTAGTATGTGGTTAACTAGAGAAACTGGATAGACAATAGAAAAAAGGATGTTTTGGTCTTTATACCATGTTTATTAAACATGATATACATGAGTACAATCAATTTTCCTACATGGAAAAAATAACTGTTGTAAATTAACAGACTTTTTAAATGGTAAATGGCCTGTATTTGTATAGCGCTTTTACTAGTCCCCCCTAGGGACCCCAAAGCGCTTTACACACCCAGTCATCCACCCATTCACACACACACACTGGTGGAGGCAAGCTACAGTTGTAGCCACAGCTGCCCTGGGGCAGACTGACTTTTACTTTCTTTTTTATTTATTTATGGTCATTTTCCCCACAGAGAGACACATGCAGAGGATTGGGCGTCTGCTGCAGGCCTCCATGTTCTTGAACTACATGTGGCAGAAAATGAGAGTGGCCGGAGCGCCGTCCAGGTGAGACTCCGCTCTGAACGCTTTGACAAATCACCGCGCTGAATGTTGACTGAATCCCGGTGTTTACGAAACAACACTGGCACCTTTCTAATATCGACTCTCGTGCTGCTTGTTTGTGGTTTCAAAGCAAATTGTTATATTAAAGGAAAATTTCACCACAAAATCAGATTTAGGTTTGTGTTTATTTTGTTTTGTTTTCCAATCTAATTAGAATGAAGAACCGCTGACATGAACAGTTGTCTAAATGAGGTGTCAACTTTTAACGGCATATTTGACCGTTTGGCTCTCCAGATGTGGTGCAGGAGCAGCCTTAAACCATAGCTGGAAACATGCTCTGTGTAATTAGCTATGTGAGGTTATTAAATGAAAATATTTTTAGTTTGTCAGCCTAATTTATGCTATTATATCTTCTCCAGTATGGGCCAAGATGAAGACATGGATACGACACCTCTGGCACAGGCTCAGCCTTTCTTTGTGATCGACAAGGAGAAAAAGAGCGACAGCGACGAGAGACGAGACGAAGGCAACGACAGCGACAGTGAACAAGACGAAGATCCAGATTCCTGTGTTGAAGATGAAGAGGAGCTCGAGGATGTCAGTGCCACCAACAAAGCCTCCACCGACAACGGGCGAGTAGAAAACGGAGCAAGCCCCAAAACTAACAGCAAGCACCACTCTGAGAGCGAGGAGAGCTCTGAAGAGGAAGACCAGGAGGAGGAAACGACAGTTAAAAAGACAAAAGGTCTCCCAGTTTCTTCGGCTCAACAGTGCCAGACTTTTGCCAGCTGACAGGAATCAGTTTGGAAACAACAGGTTTTCTTATCTCAGATTATTGGCAGCTGGAGACAGTTCAGATGTGAAATGATAACATTTGTTAGGACGGCTTCTCTACAGACTTTGAGTCATGTGCCAAAGCATCAGCTCCTCCATGCAGATTTTAATGACCCTGACTTCTTCAGACAAAAAAGAGGAAAAGGGGACGAGCAGGAGGAGGAAACCTGGACCATCTTCACACTCACCACATGCCAGTGTGTTGCTCTGCAGTAGTGCAATGTCCTGATCTACTAGCTCAACTATTTGAACACACTTTTATGTAACCCAGACAGCAGTTTCCTCATATAACCATGGAGTATTTTGTTTTGTTTTTAAAGAGGTTGTGACTGCAAATGTTAATAAAATCAACAATGTTTGATTTAAAAGGAGTCACATTTTTATTAAAATAAAATAGCTACAAAGGGAGTAAATTAAATTTGAACCCATGGCATTCACTTGATGCACAGGCGTAGAAAAAAGTGTGTCAATTCACCTATTGACACACATTCATACTAATCTGTGTCAATAGGTGAATGAGGCATGTTTTATAAAGTGCCTAAAATGCACAAGAACCAGTCCATCTGCTATGTGAGTGAGCGCCAGCATGAGTTGTGGTTTCCTGGCAGGCTTTAGATAAGGACTGCAGTTCTTGAGGATTTATGCTCGGCATGGAAAACGGCTGAAAAATGTCCTTTAGTTTAGATAGAGTTTCATCTTCCTGGTTCATCCAGGTTTTTGCAGCACAGGCCCCTGAAAGTGTAAAACCAGCTGAAGGTATGAAATCAAAAGCAGGATGTCTAAAGGTGTATTATTAGTTCCCTTATGGGAAATGTCAGTCTTGAATAAACCAGCTCAACTAGCTGTCAGCTACTCAGTAACACGAGTGCACCCAGATCAGATAATGAAGTGTGTGTTCTGTGTTGACTATCCACACATGCAGGCGGCGGGATAGGCTGCGAAGGTTTTTCAACAGGAATTTAAACAACTTCCACACACTGGTATGCAGACAAACATTTACTTTTCCTGCAGTCAAAATGAGCAGATGAGCCATCGTTTGTGGAATCTACACAGACTATATGCATATAAGGCACAACACAAGGCTTCCAGTATGGAAAATAAAACAAGGCATTTTAAATGATCGATTGGTCAAAGTGGTGATGATACAGGAGCTATCACATATTCATCTAATCATCTAAAACAAAAGAACAGTTGTTCTGTACTTTTATAACTCCAACAGTAACAAAAATAAAGCTTTATTTTTCAAACAGGAACTTTATCGGCTGATGATCTCAGCTTGTGTGGGTGACAGAGCACCTTTTGCTGCATTCTTGCGGGTGACAGAAGTACACCGGGAGAGGATCTCCTGGGCGCCCGGTCTGGGTGGCACCTTTGGTTTTTTGGGTGATTTGTAGAGCGTGGGATCAGAGACACTCGAGATCAGCCTCCCCCCTGAGCCGCTCGTTGGGCTGAGGGTGTTGCTCATCCCCGGTGGAGGCGTGCGGCTGAGACGCAGCCATTCATCATTGGCAGTGGGGCACAGGTTCAGGGCCGAGTTAAAGCTGGAGTCGTCACTGAAGCTAAAGTCGGTGCTGTCGCTCATAAAGCTATCCTCACTATCCTCTGTCTGACTCCTGGAGAGGACGCGTTGTTCGTCCTCTCCATCCATCTTCACCGTGATTATGGGCGGAGGAGGGTGAGAGGGAGAGGTGGGTGAAGTGGAGATATCGGTAGCAGCACTGGTACTGTTTGCAGCAGGCTGTGCATGAGGCTGTTCAGACAAAACCTCAAGAGACACAGACCTCTGCCTACTCTCCGGCAAGATCAGGAGAGGTGACGAAGACCTTATGGGGGGATGTTGCAGCAGGCTTCCTTGGGAGAGGCTCAGTTGGGAATGCTGTTCCAGATTCGAGGATGGAACGAGAAGGGAAGTGTGGCGGCGCTGATCCAGGTGATGGGAAGCGTTATGAATATGAGGGTAGCGGTGGGGCTGCAGTATCATGGTGGGAATGTAACCCATTTTTCCACTGGATCTGTTAGATGACAAGAATGAAGAAATCAAAGTAATTTAAAATTGGAAATCATGCATAGTTCTTTTATTTCCACATACATGGCTACATAACATAAGTGTCAGGCCTTTTGTGCTACTTTAAGCCATGACAACCGATGTTATGAAAGAAATCCAGTAAAAGCAGGCTGTGCAATGGTACAAAATTCTGCTTTTTATTCTTTTTTAAATTAGGAAGAGATTTAAATTTCTTTTTCAAAGGAAATTACCATGAAAACATAATCAGTCATTAACTGTCTGGGCTTAAAATAGATTATTCATCTCATTTGAGTTGCCTCTGCTGATTGGTTGACAGGGCAGTGACACTCACTGAGCCTGTCTTTTCTTTTATCAGCTGTTCATCGTTGAGTACTAATGTTCATGCGACCCAACCTGTGTTTCTGGCTTTTTGGCAGTCACAGAGAAAGATCTGGGTGGCTGCAACTCTCATGGCTTGCAAGAATCTGTAACAAAATAACTTGAAATAAAAGTTTCAGCCCAGGCTAGAATACCTGACGAGCCACCAGCCATTTTCAGACTTCTGCAGGACTTCCACCACAGCACCTATGGTTACGGTCACCTCGTCAGTTTTGGTGGCCTTGTAGCTCTTGACTACAGTGTAGAGTGCTCCTGGAGAGAGAATGAAGGATTACACATAATGCTTTGCAATATGAATGATATTCACTGTACATAGCTGTACATACACATGTACAAATACATAATGAGAGTGCAATGTCGTGAGAAAGGGTACAAGAAAAACTGTAAATATGTGTACCTTTTTCAGGAATCTCCTCATGATCTTCATTATCATCATTTGTCCTCTCCAGATAGGGTGCAGGAAACCAGGCCATCCGCCTGTCTTCAGTCTCCACCAGCCACCATCCTGAATCACCAGAAACATGCATTTTACTGCTCACATTGAGTTATCCGTGTTAGCTGAAAGCTGTCGGCTCACCTCCTTTGTCTTTGATGACCACATCGAGTTTGTCACCCATGGCCACTTTCAAAGGTTTGTTCTTGAAGTCTTTGGTCTCATACGGGGCGACACACGTGTACGCTTCTGTGATAAACGGCTGGGTCACTTCACCGGCGTTTGCGTGAAGTCCTTCGCTTCTGAGTTCATCCTCCGGGGGCATGATGATGATGCTGAGGAGGAAGAGCAACACAGACACGCACAATGTCAGAGTCATGCATTCATCTTGAATTATACATATTTATTTATGTACTCGTGCACTCAGAAGATTGAACCTGCAGATACAAGATTTTGCAAATGTTACAGTCCCTAAATTAGATCTGTGTGGGTAACTTGAACTAAAAGCTATTATAAAACATTTATTGTGTAATAAATGTTTAGCCGTACCCGTTTTTGGCAAAGTCTGGCTGCAGGTCCTGCTCTTTAGGGTTCAAGAACTGGATGAGCTCCGCAGACTGAGACACTCGCTGGTCACAGGACAGGACTGCATTGCAATATTTCTGCAAATATTTCAGGCGCACCAGTGACTTGGTTGGGGCTTTCCCTCGAATTTCTTGCTTCACCCTCCCCTCTGAAATCCCAGAGAACGACTTTAGTTACAATCCCATTGGTGTGTAAGTGAACCATGCGATTCTTGTAAAGCAGCAAGTGTGGTCTACATGACCCGAACATACCTCGAAATCTGGGGACAATTCTGTCAGATTTTCTCAGCTTGTTTGCAGGTGGGAATGCTTTCTTCAGTTGTTTCTGTGAGAAATAATTTGAGTAACAAAACAAACAAAAACAAAAGTTACCTGGATATGTGCAACTTGGAAAAAACAAAAGAAAGAAGGTGTTTTATACTCACGTGCATTTTCATGAATTCTCGAAAACGTCTGTAAATCACAACACTGCTCTCGTCGGACCAAAGCACAGAAGTCTTGTAAAACTGGAAAAGAAAAGGCAGCTTTTCTCAGGAGAGGCACGCATTTTATTTAATAAAAACACCCACACATAAAACCAGGAAAGTGAAAAATCCTTTGCTGCTTACTTTGGTCTTTTCCTTCTGCAGTACTCCAACTAGATGGATGCTTATGGGATACTGCTTAGCCTCCATAATGACAGCACAGATGGGTGCTTGGGAGCTGCAGTGAAACTAGCTCAGCCTTTTCCAGGTATGTGACTGAGGCAGTGAGGCTCTGCAGGTAAATTTATGCTTCCTCCACCGGAGCAGGTGTGGCTCTGGTTACGTAGGCAACAAGAGGGGGGAAATCTGCAGTTGTGTACATGCTGGAAATTCTTGCATATTAGCTTTGGTGCATATCACACAAAATATATTTTCACCAAAAGTTTAATTTATATTGATATTTATATAAAACTGTAGTTTTTGGGTTTTTTTAGTGTTCATTTTTGAAAAGAACAGAATTTACTCCTGATTTTCTCTCTTTCTTTCTGTCTTACACACACACACACAGTTGTATTTCCATGACAGTGACTTACATTAATTTCCTGGAGACTTTGTTTAATCCAAATGTAAAGCTTAATGTTAATTTTGTTTGATAATATGTTGTGTGATGTTTCATTCTGTGTAGCACTCATTATTTGAATAAATTAAACACAGAAATGATCAAAAAAAATTTTTATATATTAGAGGATCAATTTGCATGATCATGAAGATAATGAAGTAGCACAAATGACACATATGGTGAAATGAAAAGAATAACGAGTGTTTGTAATGGTAGCTTTGCTTGTTTGATTTATTAATTGACAAAAAATACCTGACAATATAGAGCACCACTTCTTTTAAATCCATACAGCTTTGACTGATATATAAATATGGATTTATTATGCACGCCTATGAAAGTTTTTTTTGCGTGAGTAATTATTGGATTTCCTGCTGTTGGTCTAAAACCAGACAGATCATAAAGTATTGCTGCAGACAACTACTCATAACTAATTTCTTAAGAAAGAAACCACCATTGTTTCCTGTGTACTGTTTGTTTGTATATTTGTCTTTTTGGCTGCTGTTACAACCAAATTTCCCCTTGTGGGACAATTAAAGGATTATTCTATTCTGTTGTTAAAGCCAGATGAGGAAGTTAGTGAGGGAAAAAATTCCTCTGTGGGCCGTAAATATTTCTTCCTCTCTTCTGAGGAATTTTGATCTGTAGCACGTAGGCCAGCGTGGTGACAATTTTCATTTTCTTTCTAGACTTTTATGTTCTTTGATTGCCATCAGCAGCCTGCGGATAACCCCCAAAGCAAAAATATTCTCTGCCCATTTCATTCGGTTAAATGTTGTTTAAAAAAAATAAAAGCTGAAGCTCAACATAGATATATTTTATTTTCTCTTAGCATTTAACACTAAAGGAAGATCAAACCAGTGAAATGTTTAACAATGCAAAACTCTTTTAGTTGAGCAAGTCTTGATAAATAGCTTTCTCATGGTCTCTGTGATACAGAGTTAGCATTAGTGACTACTTCCTCATTCAGTGCAGGCTGAAACAGAGGTGAGACTCAAACAATGGCTAACTTTGACTTTTCAGCACTTCCAGCATGTTAGAGGGACTACAAAGCGGGACTATTGCCCAAACAGCTAAACAACAGTATTGATATCAGCTGAGATAGTCACAAGAGAAAAGCAGTTTGGTTTGTGTGGTCAGCTACTGCTAGCTGCTGTGACATGTGATCCAGACTGTACCAAATAATCGCTCTGTTATTATAAAACACTCTTTAAAGAGCAGCCAACCATACAAACATGTATCAAAGTTATTTATTTCTCCTCACAGCAGAGTTAGAATACACCATCTTTCATAAAGCAGGACATCTCTGTCATGACTTAATTACAGACTCCAAAATAAACATTTCTTCTACATTGCACATTTTACAGGTTTTTGTTAATCTGCGATCTCCTCGCTTGAGTTAAGACTGTAGTGTGAATAGCATTCGCACATCATATCAACTTATACCCGAGATCTGAGCTTTAGCTTAGCCAGATAACACACAGTTTATCTCATTATTAAATGTTCATGATTTCAAATAAAGCAACATTAAACTATCACCCATCTTAAAAACAACAGAAGGAGCGTTACAGTTAAAATTGTAAGGCAGCAGGTTTTTCCTAAAGCATCAAAGGTGGTTTTATTTTTTTTCCATCAAGCTTTCACAACCACACACAGGTGCTTTTAAACATTACAGCAACACATTATTTGATTCTCCAATTTGTTACACTGCAGTCAGAGCTCTGCGTTCATTTTCTTGTGTTAAATCTGACGTTTTCTAAACTCTTCCCAGAAATATTTTACTTGGCACAAACCCCCCCCCAAAAAAACCCTCAATCTCAACTAGATTATGAGTCACTGATTATGGTTGCTGTGCTTCAGGTTGATGGTTAGTATAATTAACCCCCTCCCCCTTACATTTTACTCCTGATTTAAAATAAATAAATCACCCTTAAACAGATATGATCTGAAAATTAAAATAAAAACAAAAATTAAGTGGTGTAAGAAATTCGACCCATTATTAATCTTTGGCTTGCATAGATAAACACTTTACAAAGTTGAGATGATTTTTCAAAAAGCTGCAGCTTTTTGCAAACAAGGTTTTCACTCATTTCCAGCTCATCCATATCAGGATTACTAAAATACATATTGCCTGAACATTACAGCAGCATACCATCCCTGATCATATAGAACCTGCATAAAAGCTCTCATGCATCTCTGCTTGTGGCGCGTCTAACTCGTTAATCATCACAGGTCCTCAAAGATTTTGTATCTTTCAAATAAGATAAATATATTAAGCTTTACTCTTTTTTCCCCCCCAACTCTTAAAAGCAACACTTTGTCTTAACAGAAACAAATGGAGGAAATCTGTTTTGAACTACTGAGGATTTTTTTTTACAAGTGCAGGAAAAACAAACAAACAAAACCAAAAAAAACCAAAAAAAAATTTCAATCTGCCGCAGCAACTGTGAGAAAATTCCACGTCTCACAGATCTTCCTTATGGTTCTTCATCTGTGCCTTCTTTCCATCAGTCCAGCAGAAGAGTGTCTGACCAGCTGTGTTTTTCCTTGCCAGTGAGGAAAATGGGTCACCTCCATTCTTGGCATTAAAGGATTCTCCATCCCGTTTAAGCACAGGGCAGCATGAACCTTCTTTTATGTCACTCCGCATCCCCGCGCAGCCATGTCACCGAAATTCGTAAATAGGCATACTGTGCTCTCGAATATGGTTCAGGCTTAAAGACTGGTACCTGCAGAAAATAAGTTGGAAAAACAAAACCAATCATCAGACATGTGTTAATGTGAAAAACTGCAAACTTGAGCTGTTTTCACTCCAGATAAAGTTGGAAGAATCTCATCCAGGCATCGTCTGAGTAGCCCTTCCTGACATTAGACAAGGTCTCACCAACATGCTTCCTTTATACTCTCAGGATCCAGCTAAAGTAACTGGCATTGTAAAGTAACCGGCACTACTTGGGTACTTTAAGACTCAGAAAACAAAGTTTTTGCAAATGGTGCAGATTCAGTTTTACTTTGAAAAAGTAAACAACTGGCAAAGAGAGAGACACTTCTGGAAACACATTCCTGATCTCATCTGCTGCAATAATTAAGCCAAACATTTTGCACATTATACCACAATGTATCAGCGTTTAAGAATGTTGCCTGTAAAATGGCAGCTATGCCCTAAACATCAAGCATGGTTTGGGTAAAGAATCATACAGTGATCATTGTCTGCACGTTTGACTAAATTCTTTCTAAACCTGTAGGAGGAGGAGTCATTTTTGTCAATTGCAGGTGACTGATGCCTTGGGATAGAATAAGCCCATCAGTCCTTCGGCTGACTGAGTTAATAGTACAAATGGCAATTTATATAGCACATTTAATTCTAAGTACAGTAAATGTGCTTCACACAGAGAGAGATTAGAAACATTACAACTTGTGTAGGTTTTACAATGCTTTCAGGCAGTAACATGAGTGAAATGACAGCAATATGAGGCCATAACAAGTGATAGAAAAGAATACAAAGGACTGTTGAAAGCAATTTAAAACTTAAGTAAACATGAGGAAATATTATTACCTTCAGGAATTATATCAATGTTGTGTGAGTCCACCTATTCAAATTGGGATGACTCCCTCTAGTGATAGATAATAACCCTGACACTGTTCCAATTTATTCCCACTTTGCACCACCTCCCAATTTATATTTTTCTGCTATTACAGCCACCATATAGTCCTGGCTTACTTTCAGTAGCAGAGCATTTATTACCACTGCTACTCTTCTCCTTTACAATCCCAATACCAAAAAACTTGTACAAATGAATAAAAACAAACAAAACTAACAGTGATTTGTAAATTTCAGAACAAAGTGTTTGAACAGCACAAGTGTAACACTTAAATACATTAACTCATTTTGAAGTTGATGTAACAACATGTCTGAAAAGTGCATCTAAGAGAGGCAAAGTTTCCCAGAAGCAAGGATGGTTGGAGCTTAGCAATCGACAGGAAACCGCATCTAGAAACTATTGAACAAACTCAGAAAAACGTTTCATAACACAGAATTGTGACGACTGAATATCTGATATACAGTATCATATCAAAGAATGAGAATCTGAAGAAATCAGCACACAAGACTACAAATCATCAATCCATTTGTTTCTGCTTCTCTAATTCAGATTGTGTTGAAGGTCAAGGAAACTGAAATACCTTTTGGAAAATAAGAAAGCTGGTCCTTCTGACAAAAAAGGAGATTGACCACCTGGCTTGTTGGCAATACTCTAACAAGCCAGCATCTCTCTGGTATATGAGTGCATTAGTGCCTATAATTGGCAGCTTGTACATCTGGAACAAGCATGATCAGTGCTAAAAGGTATATGCGGGTTTTAGAACATGTCCTCTCATCCATAAGTCTTTTCTCCCCACAGGAGGCCTTCAATATTTCAGCAAGACAATGCTAAACCATATACTGCATCAATTACAGCAGCATGGCTTCATAGCTGAAGAGTCCAGGTGCTGAACTGCCTGCCTGCAGTCCAGACCTTTCACCAACTAAAAACATTTGGCACATAGTGAAACAAAACGTACAACAAAGCCAACTCGGGACTGTTGGGCAGCTAAATTCTATGAAGACGAAAGTCCAGCAGCTGAACTTGTCTGTTCCAGGTAGTTTACAGA